AAATCTGACCTTCAAAACAGAATATAGAAAATTTAATAAGGGCTTGACCATTAACCTTTAGAGAACGTTTAGATCTATGCTTGTAAATTCAGTTTTGCAAGTGGTAAGACAGTTAATCAATCTCACCATTTTCAGAATTACAGGCAAAACCCCCTTTGATTTACTGTCCTCAGTGTTTCCAAACCAAACATAACAAAACTACTCACTTTCATTCTGTAGAAACTAATCAAGCTAAGTATATAGGAAAGGAAGAAACAGAGATTCTTCTCAACATCATTAGTAAATATTTGGGAAATATTCAGATTCAGTTATGATAGGAATACACAATCACAAAGCCAGATTTTGTTCCCATCCCCACTTCCTCACTGTCTGATCCTGGTTGCACAAGATGTAATCTCTACGTGTATTAGGGGTCTATGTACATACACACACACATAGATACAAGTGTAGGTACAGAGACAAATAAGGACGCAATCGTAGTCTATTTCTGCAAAGCACTTCCAAATCCCTAGATGAAAATCATTGAAAATGTACGAGCTATCATCACAGCAAAAGCATTACTGGTTGATGATGCTACCTGAAAGAGATCCTGCACCCATGCATTGGCACAAACGCAGGACAGCACCAGACAAATGTCAGCACTAGCAGTGTGGTTCAGCCTGGATCATTCTGGTTCCTTAAATGAAAGGTTTCAAACGAAATGTACCAAGGAATTCAAAATACCGAAGGAAAGAAGCAGGACAGGTAGGGGAAAGGCATGTTTTGTGTATGGTTATACAATTCGTGACCTTCAAGCTAAAGCAGAAAATAAAAAACCACGATTAAAGATTATTCCTGGTGCAAAATTCTATTAACTGATGAGAAATTTGGAAGCAACAAATCAGATAAGAAAATGCCATAAACTGGATTTGAAATGTTAGTTTTCCTTATATGATTAAAAGATGCCCATTGTTTAACCATACTGGGAAGCACTTTTTTGTAAGCCATCCCAGAAAAGAAAATACAACAATCAGAAAGTTTTTTGAATATTCTTTCCATACTCTCTGCACTTTTTCTTTTTTTTTTTTCCTTCAAGGAGATTGTGAGAGATTTAAGCTTGCTTGGGGACAGATTACAGAAAAAAAATAATAGCAGTCGTAAACTGCTTAGGGAGTGAATTAGTGTCTCCTCTTTTATTTGGGATCAGACATACTTAAACAAGATAAGTAAGGGACTTTTTCAGGGAAAAAACCAGTGGCTGCCAAGAAGAAATATTTCCTATACCTAGAAAACTGAATAGTTTTCTACTCAGAATAAAAAACAGTACATGCAATATAGCTGGAAATTAAAGCACAAGTGAAACATTTTTTGGAAGGAAAAGACCAAAAATTATTTATGTCTCAAAAATCAGGCGAAACTGCTATGCATAAGAAAAAAAAAAAACCTGGAATCCCAAAGAACTTCTGACTTCATGTTTAAAATCTGATATTCTCTAAGATGGGGCCTGGTATTAGAAGATGACATTATTGTTGAGGTGTAAAACTGAGTGGTGGTCATCTGAAACAGAAATGTGTTCAGTCTTCTGAGAAGAAATTCTCACCTGGTTACAGCTTCTTGTATTGAATTTACCCTTCTCTGTTACATGATTTTAGGTTTGCTGCATATTGTTTTATGTTTTCTTAAACTGATACAGGAGAATAATAATTCCAGCTGCATTTGACCAAGAGGTACCACCTTTACCAGTGATGTACATAAACATACTCCAGAATAATTTAGATTTAAATTTCCTAACTTTTGCCAGGGAAAGACATCGCTTTTGAAGTTGTGAATTGTTATTAATAGTTATCATATTGTCCGTATGTTAAGGACAATACAACTGGCAAGAAATCATGTAGCAGTCTGGGGCTGAACATGTGTTCTTTGAGTCCTACCTTAAGATCTCTGAAATCACCTTGTTACTATGGGAAAGACATAGGATGGTGTGCTTTCTGGATTGCTTCCACTACTTCTAAGCAGTCCCTGCAGAACAGTGCGGGAGTCCCACCACCACTGCTCAGCAGAGAATGAAAGGCAGCAGCTTTGGTTGCTGTTTTGACTCCGTTCTGGAAGACAGTGAGAAAAGAGCTTGACTGGTGTCATAAAACACCTGTGAAAAGGTTACTACTTTACTTTCATGCTCCCAGCAGCCCAAGAAAGGTTGAAAAGTGATCCGATATTCTGTTCACAGTCTCATTCCTTATGTCCAGTAAAAAACCGCCTGAGGATTGTCCTTGTGTGTACTGCCTACCTATGATTTCCAAAGAACCATGCACCGGGTGGAGACAGATGGAGCACAGCATGCTTAACCATCTTCCCTCCCTATAATCAGTGTGCCTCCTGTGTTCAGGGCAGTAGGAAGGGAGGCCCAAGAGCTGGCTTACATCAGCTCCACATTGCCTAAAGAGATGTAGACGCTTTCCATTTTCTGTGTGCCGTCTGAATGCAAAGAAAGGAGAACAAGGCAAATTAATTGCCCTGATACATTGACTGTGGCTGTCCAACATGCTTGAAATGTTTCAACTGTGGGCTAAAAGGGTCGGGCATCACCGGTGTACACGTAGACACAGATGGCTGCACACTTACAAAAGGATTTTTTAATGTCAGCCAAACTGAAAAGGAGGAAGCATGAGGAAAATACATGTAAGTAATGAGGTGAGAACACTAGTCTCAGCTTTCTGAATTCCCATGTAAGTACAGAGAAATTTCACAAAGAAAGCATTCATTCCTGCCTTTTTTTTTTCAGTTTCAAGGACTCTACAGCACAGCAATACCTGTGTATTTAACTAATGTGACAAGTTTTAGTGTGTCCTAATCAAACCTAATCACCCCTACTTTCTACTAGGTACTACACTGATCAATGGAAAAGCTTTCTAGGCAAGAACTTGGAAAATGATAAAAGCATTTGCCATCATTATTTTCTGCTTTTGACAATGATCTATGCCTGTACAGCTCATCAATCATCTCTTGTAAAAACAGCATGGCACTTTGATCAAACAGCCAACAATAGCTTCCTGCGTAAGGTAAAATGTTATGAGAGGCCATCAGATAGAAATCACATTTTGTCTGAACAATAGGAACCCAGAAATGATGTGCTTGATTTACTTGCAAATAAAATCATGTGAAAGGTGATATCTTCACACAGGTTAAAAAGACAGTGATCCTTTTATTCACCTTTCTGCGTGTTAAACAAACTTCACTGTCATGTTGCAACTGAGATGGAGTGTCTATGCAGTGATAAAGAGGCACATTCCAGCTCTACGAAACATAACTGCCACTGTTGAAAAATTACCTGCATTAAACCTTACACTTATCCCACAAATTTTAAGAGCAAGATGTGGGAGTTTGATTTTGATTACAGGCCTCTATCTGTGTGGTAGGCAAAGGTCTTTAACCTATGTGTTCTGAATGTACTAGGTACGTAGTTTCATCAATGTCATGCCTCATTGGGTCAATGTAGGATTTTATCTAAAACCTGAGGCTTTTCAGTTTACACTGTATATGCAAACACAACCTTTTACTGGTGCTCTCTGCCTTTTCTATAAATACCATAGATCCTCTCAATGAAACAAAAGGGAGCTGGAGGCATCTTAAACTTATTTTACTCACTTATATTCCTATTGAGTCAAGGTCTTCAAAAGAGAAATTTTGTTTATTTGAAGATTGGTGTGTGTCACAGCTGGTGGAGCCAAACACTTTTTAGTGTTAGAAAAATTGCCACTCTTCTTTTTCTACTCTGGCTTTCTCCAAACATCTACTGAATGCAACAACATTCATTTTTAATAGGGCTGACACAGATTCCCCTGCTTCTGAACATAAATTGAAGTAAAACATATTATCCCAATTTATTTTTGCAGTCTGTAAATGACTGATTATTTTTGTAGAAAAGGTAATACTGATGTAGATAATCTTCTCTTGATGTTGTGCTACAAGACATGTGTCAAGATTCACACAGGTATTTAGGCACTTAACTTCCATTTATCTCAAAGAAAGACTGTGCATTTGGATTCTGGGCCCAAGTTCACATAGCCAGATGTGTCTGGAGTTCATACTAACAGGAGAAATTGATCTCCCAAGTAACAGTGAGTTTTAACCTGTTAAGTTGTGATCCTGTGTAGGTGGTGGTCATCATTACTGATTGAAATAAACATTGGAAGAAAGAATGTCATTCAATTAAAACACTAACAGCTGATACCTGGTTGGGTTTTCAAGTTGAAAGCAACCACTGCAGAACTTCCTACTCTGATGTAGGATTACACCATCTTTCTGACACGTGTATGACGTCTACACCAGTCTTAGAACTTTCTATTCACTTTTGATTTTGCAAAGCTTACAGTGAAATATACGAGTATAAAATGCTTCGTTTCTGGGAGTAATGGCCACTTGGTATTCCACTGCAGTTTCAGTCTGATGTGGTGTTTGCCATGACTTAATTCTCAGTTCTGACATAAGTGACACAAAGTATCTGCGTAGTCCCATTGCAAAAGTAGTTCCAAGGGTAAAAGAAAAGACACAGTTTCAACAGAAGATGGAATTTGAAACAAGCAGAGATGTTGCTTGTGGCCTACCATGACAGTTGTAATGGCGCGGGGGGTGTCTCAGCTCAGGAAAGCTTTTTTAATTGATTAGCAGTCACTTTTTTGGTGATTTGATCAAGAAAAAGAAAAATACTCATGAATCACATTGTTTAAAGGTATGCTATTGCACAGCTGCCAAGAATGGCAGTCTCAACCCTCGTGGCCTCCAAGCCCCCCATTGCTGCTTTGGAGTTATCATGGTGCTCCACTCCTCCTGCAGACAGCAGACTCAAGGAGCAAAACTAGAAATTTAAACAGGCAAAATCATGAATAATCTCCTGCTTGATCACCTGCTTAACTTTCTGAATCAGTTCAGTGTGAGGTCAGATTAATGCCAGTGTTGGTGCAAAGTAGAGGGGGTATGAACAGGACTGGTTGCTGTTAGGCTTGCCTAGCTGAAAAAAATACCTGAAAAACTCAGAATAGCGAAGTTTTTCCTTTCCTTCTTTTCCAAAGAAATGTACCAGCAACATGGTATTAACACCAGAGCTTTCCAGTTCTGCTCCCTATAAAACAAAAAACTGTATGATTAATTATTATGCATTGTATGATTATTAATATATACTCACCACAAATCTGGAAATATTTATTTTAACTAGAATTTCACAAAAGATACTTGCAACTTAATTACTGTTCCCAAAGCTATCACACAGGATTCTCAGAGCTGAATCATTCTTTCACATCAACTGGTAACAGTGACTATATGTTCTGCTTCTAAATATTCTGTATGAAAGATGAGTACAATTTACAGCCACCTTCAGTGTATTTTATTATTAGAACTGAGAAAGCTGCCAGTTAAATCTTTAAAACCCTTTATGTTTAGGTGAGTAGAGGCTTTAAATAAAGTTAACATCTTCGTAAAAAAGTTTTTCGTCAGGTATTTCTAATTTGATACAGCCATTTAAAAACTTTCATGATAGCCTGAGAAACAAAACTAGAAAAATATAAACATTCAGAGTGCTCTATTATAATATGGTCTTACAAGGCTTCTTGCAAATTTTCAATGTTAGTGACTTTTCTATATATTTTATAAATCTGATTAAGAGATTTCTGCAGAAAAAGGATGCACATTATTTCAACTCAACAGCATCTTTAACAAGCCTAAAACCACACATAATGCTGGATTTCTGTTCTATTCTTCTTTCAGCACTAGCATACTGGCATTTCTTTGAACGCAACAAAACACTAAGCAACATGAAGAGATATTTTTTTTTTGTAAGTCTGGAGGGATTTCAACAAACTATTCTTATGACATCTAAATAGCCTCTGTGTCTTTTATCTGGTTGAAGAGGTAAGATGAAAGACGAGAGTCTATTCATAAGATTTAATACTAATGGTTATTTAGCTTTCAGCATCATCAATAACAAGTCCCATTAGCCCACTGTGTGTTTCATGCTTACTGCATATGTGACACAGTTATTTTATAGTTAGAGGTAACATTCCTCATTTCTACTGCAAGCTACAATTCAGGAAATGCAAGTGATACGAGTTATGTATGAGTGAACCTAGAAAAAAAAACTTTTCAAGCCATACACAAACTGTATTTATTGAACTTTATCATTTAACTGCAGGCAAAGAATATTTAAATACCCACAAGATCCATCCTTCTAAAGTTTAAACACTTCAGATTACTGTGAAGACTGATGCATAAACATTGGTATATGCTTTTTTGAAAGTCAAAAGTCAAACATTCATGCTTATTTGAAATTCAAACCCAAACTATTTATATCAGCATGCAAAGTTTTCTAAGAAGAAACAGAGAAGAATCCACATATTTCTCACTGCTCTAATCTGCTTTTTGTGTTTTTTGCTTACATGTGTAAAAAAGACTTGAAAAATGCAAGAAACAAATTTGCTAATGTAATTTTTAAAACTGAACTCATGATTATGCAATTTAAGGCTTCCAATTTAATTACTCTGTATTAAAGTCAGTGTTGTATTGAGAACAAACTGAAGAACAAGGTTTAAAACAACCTTTTAAAAACTAAGTCTGAGACAGAAAAAGTTTTTTTTTCTTCTATTCATGTTTCTCTAGTTATAAGCTAGAAGACGACATACAAACAATGTCTATCTCATCTTATCTAAGATGACAAAGCCTATCCCTGGATTTATAACAAATATGCACCTATTTGTTGGCTACCCTCTTTATCGGTTGAAATTCCAAAGTGGAATTGGCAGATGTCCAAACACTATGTTAGTGAGAGTTAAATGTATTTTAAAACTACAAAACAGTACATTTCTTTAAAACAGAATATGCAATAGCAGACCACAGACTACAGCTTAAGGGTAAAATTTCAAAAAATTGCTTTTCCTAGAGTTAATGCTATTAAATTAAAGTACATGTTAGTACATAATTCCTTTTTGTCCACAGAATCATTAGGAGCTTTTACTGCTGAACTGTATAAATTAGTACTGACATGACAAATCTTTGTTAGAAGATAATGAGAGCTCTATTAATATTTCCAACACCTCACCCTCCTGAGCTTAGGTAAAAGAATAACTTATGTTTGGAATGTCTCTCTTGGCAATGAGAATGAAATGGTAACCTAATCCTGGAGCTGCAAAAAGGACCAGACTGGTAGCTTTGAGTCACAGAGCTACTATCTAAATTGAGTGAAAGTTTGTATTCTGGTGTATCTGGTGGCTTCAGCCTGGGGAGGGTGCAGCACAGCACCCTTTTGGGCTGTGTGCGTTACAGAAAGCTGAGGCACAGAGTGGAGGGAGGGATGGTAATGTTCTGAGTCTCATCTTGATACACGCATGGGATGGGGCAGGGACACGTATCTCAACTGGGGAGCTCAGACATGTTCCTGGGACTTATGGTTCACACAAAGAATCCCAAAGACCAAGCTCTGATGCCACACAATTCTATATGAACTAACAAACCTGTGTACGTATTACAAACATAAGCTTATGTTCCTAGAGTAATGTTAACACCTTGTACAGTTTTCAAAAGCACCATGAACTGCTGAATTATGCAACTATTCCTTTTTAAGCAAGATCAGATAACACAACATTTATTTCCTTATTACATTACACAGACTGTGAACACAGAAGCCTGATGCTGCAAACACTGAGTCATGGGCACAGACCTACCTAATCCTGTAGCTCCCCACTGAGCTTCTGACATTTAGGACCTGATACTGCAGCAAGTAGCAACAAGTGCCACTGAGAAGAAACTTATCACACAGTGAGACAGGATTTTCAGAATAATGTACCTAACTGATTTTCAAAACTCATCTGCAATGTTAATAGACTTACTGTCTCTAGATTCTTACCACCTTTCATTGCAGAATTTGCCTGAGGCATGACTGGAAAGCATTCATCATGATTAAAATCTGTAATACGTTCCTTGTTCTTTTACTTGCTTCCTGGGAGATGGTATTTGCTGTGCAATGTCTTGTTTCGATAGAAATTGTAAATACAATACATATTTTGGACTGACATTTTTTTTGGTTAAGGTAGAAGGAGAGTGAATAGATGAAGAACAGGGGTAGAAAAGAGAAAAGGGTCAAGGAGAACAATATCTTACTTTCTGACTGCTAGTGATGTCCCAAATCTTTCCAAAGGTAAGACTAAATCTTTGAAAATTTTTCTGAGTCTACTTCTCCGAAATGCTCTTTGTTTTTCAGCTGCTAGGTCAGTCAATTCGTCATGCCAGGCTCCTATCCCTGGAGGCAATGTAGACTTCAATCTAAGCGGCCAACCTCAAACACTGCTTAAAAGCATCAACCTTTCTGTCATTTTGAGTCTCCAAGAAGTTGGGATATATCCTACAACTCAGTTCTGGGAAGAAGGTTTAAAAGATGTATCCATTATGAAATGAATTCTTCCAGGTACAGCTAGTCAAAAGAACTGTGAACAGGCAACCTAGTGAGACCAGGAGATCCGGATCTCCAAAAGCAGTCTTTTTTGGCAAAGCCCAGACAGCCTCAAGTGGACACCAGAATGAACAATATATCATTTTATGATGAATCGGCTTTAATCATGTAAGTCCATACTGAAGTTTTTAATGTTTTGCAAGGCACTTTTTTACGAGATAGGATTCAAGAATACATTGGGTCTGATAGAGACAGGGTAAACTGTGCACATTTTTTTTTCTATAGAGGGTATAACAGACAATATCTGAGAAGAAATCCGATGGAGCATTTTCTAAGCAATAAACAGCTTATATCCAGCATTCAACAACATCCAGCATTCCCACTACCTGGGGATTAGTTGTTTTTTAATGAAAACTAATGCCATAGAATTGCTACGCTGTACCGTTAGTGACTCTAGCAAGGAAGAAGATGTAACTTCATGGATGTCCTCAGCTTTCAGTGCATCACCCGCGGTTCTGTGTCAGTTCACAAGGAGGTACAGAATAAAAATGGTTTCCAGCCAAGTGGGCTAAAGCTAATCTGGGAGCAGACATTGTAGGAGATACTTTATGAAAAAAATAGGAAAAATATGAAAAAATAGGAAATTGTTGCCAGCAGGTTGAGAGGGACCAAATCCTGCTGCGTCAAGCAGTCAGGGAATGGCACCGTTGCACTGTGAAGCCTGAGGCTGCCTGACTGGTGCACTGCTGGCAGCTGGGAAAAGCAGCTTCTATACACATTTGGGGACAGCCCCGCACAAGAATACAGGCCCTACCTTCCTCTCACGCCATACTTTAAAAATATTAATTTCCGTAAAAAGTAGAGAATTCCTAACGAGGACCCCCCTCAGGAGGTATGATGTTCAGTGAAGCACGCTCTTTTGATTAATGTGGATGTGGCCTCAAAGGCAGAGCATACCCATTCTCAACATGTGCAAACCTCCTTGCTCTCAGTGCTAAAACTGACTCCTGATGGACTGTGCCCCATTCCCCTACCCTGCTGTCCAAACGCGTCCCCAGGCAGTCCACATTCCGGCTGCCCTCCCAAGTTTCAGTTATCACAAGATGCCAAGTGAGCATGCTTACGTGCACCATTTCCAGTTTATTCTGATTAATTTTAGAAGCAAATGCACTAGATAGCCTTCAGAGATTATGACCAGATTCTTACTGTTTTGAACCAATGACTAGAGCTGTTAGTGCAAAGCCAAATAGTGTTTTTTTCCCTGGCCTGTCAGGAGCCCACACTGCTATCTGGCTTCTCTAGCTACATAATTTAAAGTGCTTCAGACTAGGTTAAGCAGCAGAGACTAAAGCGGTAGCCTTGTCTCACACATCTGCGCAATGGAAAGCAACGCTACTGTGACCACAACAGGCTTCCAGATGAATTCCTTGGGGGAGAGACTTTTGCTATCCAAGCCAAATTCAATGTACTAGCAAAACAGGCACCTAGAAAGATGTCAGAAAGCATGTTTCTCTGTCTCTCTTGAGGTTATAATGTCATCAGATCATGTGGAAAAATAAAATAATTTCTTTGTCTGTGAGGCAAACAATGACCCATCAGTTTTTTAATAGCTTAATATTTTGATGCCACACGGCTTGGTTCTTTATGGGGTTTACCTGCCTGGAGAGCTTCCTTCAAAGCATGCAGGAATGCTGCAGTACTCCTTGGTTTAAAGTATCTAAAAGCTTTTCAATAGAATTCAATGTTAATCTGCTGATACAAAACATACACATTAATGTGCATTCCATATGAACTGAGAGGCGACAAGATTAATGACACGCTCTTTTGGGGAGGGATATTAATTTTAGTCTTGGACCAGATTCTGGCAAAATTCAATGTGCTGCACAGATATGCTGCACCTCTGTTACACAGTATTACTGCACTAGAAGAGCATAGCTGTCAAGCACCATCCTCCTCCCTTTAGCTTAGGCAGTCTTTAGTTATTCTGGGCCCAGGGTTTTACAGACTTTGAAGCTATGGGTAGAAAACTTTAAATTAATTAGAAATTCTAGGGAGCAGATGGGCAGGTTATGATGGCCTGCACAGTCTCTGTGGTTAAGGAGATGCATCACAATGCTACGATGTCTGAAGGTCCAAGTGTAAAACCTTGTGCTGACCAGCTAAGTGGTGATAAATGTGTGAATGAATAATGAAGAAAGAAAAGTAGACAGGTTAAAACAACTGATACACAATCAATAGGAAAATATCCATGTGTGGGTCTAAAAGTATACTGCTTATAGTCAGATGGAATTTTAGTTCAAAAGTTTTCTGTTTAAAAGAGATTAACAGCTATGACCCCAAGTACTAGTTAAATGTTTTAAAAAAAACATGTAAATGAGATACTTTGTATGAAAATGTGTTCATTATGGAATCCAGAAGCATATGTTTAATCATCTAGAAATGAGACAACGCATATATTCTTTCCCAACATGAATTCCATTTTAAGAACAAATATAGAACATTCTGTATTGCCATTCCTTTCCTAACAATAGCTAAAATTAACTTCTAAGTTTAGCCATTACACAAAGCATATTAAATTAGAGGTATTGAAACTACTTAATAACTCATTAATCTAAATTGAAGGGTGCAAGAGCAAAGTCCCTGATCTAGACGTCTGGGCTGTACAGTAGATACCTGTGACCATTATCATTATTTTCACTACAAGAATGCTAATGCACATATCACTATTAGAGTATCCTTTTAAGGAACTCAGGGCATTAATACAGAAGCAACTAGTGCTGTTCACTGGGCAACGCCTTTTTCAAAATACACCCAACTCTTCTAGCTCATGCACTTTTCTATAACACTCTACACCGCTTCGAGGCAAGGAGTCTGCCTCTCCTCGTCCGTGAAGCGTGGTTAAATACTCAGCTGGATGTCTCACCTGCAGCAGAACAGCTGTGCTAGGCAGCCAGGTGCAGCACTTCCTTTGCCCTATGGGAAGATGGGTGAGGTGAGACAGTCACCGCCTCTGTTGACTTCTGCACCATTTTCTCCAGTCTAGTTAGAAATAACCAGGTTGCCAGTCTTATAAGTCTGCCTGCATCTCTTCTTCACTGTGGGCATGCATGCCTGTGCTATGAGTAAATCAGATTGCCTGCTCTGCAAAACTCAGCAAGGAACTTCCCAGAAGACTGGGTCGGTTAAGGCTGGGCAAATTTTTTTGCTTTTCTTCCAGCATCAATTATAATATTGGAAAAAGAAAATCCCTCAATTGAAATACATTTATCTGGATAACAAAGTCCACTGCAATCCCATTCAAGGGCCATTACTAAGTGGTGAAATTTTGAATTTGAGATGTGTAAGTCAAAGTCTCAGTAAAAGAGGCAGAGATAGAAGCACCCTGGGAGCCCGACAAATGAACTGCTTTTTCTTTTCCTAATACAGTATCTCAATGAGTATTAAGTGGTATCTCCATACAGTAAATGAATGACTGGGACCTCTGTCTACACACTGGACAAGGAACATACCTGGATATACCTGGTAGTTAAATGAAGTTGCACACTACCATTTATAACTTGTTTTCATAAGTCAGTTATTTTCCATCTGGTATCAGAGACTGGGATTACTTTGAAAAAACAGCAAACTCATACGCAAATTGTGAAATTGGTGTGGAAATAAAGAACTGTCCCAAACACCAAACTTCTGTTGCAGTATCTCAGCTTTCAAAGCACATAGTCAATTTAAAATCTGTATTTTTATGCTTTATCGGCTTTGCTCGAAAGTAATACTATGACTGCCACAATTATTAAAAATAAGGGGTAAAAACATACGCACTGACTACATTGTATAGTCAGATTCACTGCTTATAATCAACTTCTTTTGTGAGGCAGAGACAGTAAAGAAAATAAAAAATAGAAGAAAAGTGATAATTTGGACTTTCCCGAGCAGAAATTTAGAGACCAGAAGAATTTAAAGATAGCTGTACTCCCCAAAGCTATTTAATTCTTCTTTTGAACAAACTATAATTCCATTTATAATCCGCTAAGAAACCATATTAAATTATTATTTTCTGGTTAAAGTAACTTCAGATTTTTCTCAATGGAGAATTCTGAAGACAAAATTTGAAGCAAGATGAAAAACAAAATAGAGACATTCAGACTCAGGTATTTAATTAGCTCCCAATAAGCTCACGTGTTTATAACTAAATCTGTTCAACTGTATCAAAGTTCCTCTGGAAATTTTATACTATAGCTGTGTATTCATGCAGAATAAAGATCCTTTTTATTTCACTGTCATGGCAGTTAAGTCTCAACTGAAATTGGTTTTGAGGAGCAGACAACCCTATTAATCCTAGCTATTTTAATCTGGTGACTGATGAAAAGATTCCAGAAAGGAGATGGTTGTTAGTCAGTCAAACAATTTTTAACTGAACTCTGGATGCATATTGAGGGAGCAAAACCTTTATGCATCAGAAGACAGTTTTTGTTTATGCCTAGTAAATATGAAAGGTGTTAGCAATACTGCCACTTCCATTTTTTCCCCAAACAGGTGAAAAAGTAAAGAACACGAGCTGGACCAACTCTTTGTAGAAACTGCTGATGCATGATAGGTTTATAAAGGACAGCCCTGTACAAATTTCTTATTGAATGCTTCCAACACGAGCAGTTGCTGCCCCATGCCTAATTACCCATTTTCAGTTTACAACTGAAAGCAAGTTTGTGGTGAGAAGAATATCCTTCAGCTACACTATCCAATTTCAGCAGGCAACAAAAGTAGTGCTGCTGGTGCAAGCAGCACCTTATAGTAATAGCTGGAGATAATCCATCTATACTCTCCCCCTCCTTTGTCCTCGTTCATCAGCTTCTTCTGAGGTGTTTTCAGTATGCTCAGGACTTCCCCCTCTCTGTTTTCAGTCTCATTCAAGCTCATCCAGGCTACAGAATATCTTGTCTCTGTGCTAACTAGGGACTGAAGAAGAGATGGCAGCTAGGAAAGACTCCAGTTGGGGAATAATATAGGTTACACTGGCAGGATTCAGGGGAAAACAGTCAGAAGACAGCAGGCATTTATCTGCTCCTTTCATTGATGAGCTGTATTTGCCATTTGCTAATGGTTCAGTGAAACTTCTAATCCAGTTGGAAGATCATACTCTAAGATTGTTTCTTCTTCTGGTCTGCATCTAAGCCATTTCTTTTTGGAAGTGAACCTAAGTAAGTAATCCTTGCCTTTGTCACCTCAACGACAGCAATTACATTTCAAACCAACTCAGAATAAGCTGATATTACTGCAACAGCAGCACTTAGGTAAGTTTAAGGTATCAGTTTCTATTTGGAAAGCCATCCTTTCTCATATGGCGATACAGAATTTTTTTCTGAGTTCTTCATAAATAGAAGAGAGTTACTTTGAAACAGTGGCTTACAGAAACTAAATAATGGAGTGACCACAGAGTAGTAAAATACATTAATTGCATACATTTCATCAGGAGATTCAGAAACTACAAACATTTTTCTTTCCCAGTTAGAAAGTAGCTGACAAATCATGCACTTTCATTTATTTAACACACTAATACTGATGCTTATATACTTATCTAAGAAGTCTGAAAAAATAACAAAGTTAATGGGAAATATGATAACGCTTTTGTAAAGAAAAATGTATCTCTATTTCATACCCGAAATACTCGTTCATCTCCAGGTGTTTTCAAATCATCTTCCTTCCCAATGATTCTCTGTAGCTGTATTTGTTAAAACATGAAAAAAAACACAGGAAAATTACAAATTTGGTCTTACAAGAGTCTCCTTTTTCAGAAACTTGCATTAATTTCACCTTTTCTTAATTACAAAGTCATTACATTTCTGCAAGGTTCTCTAGTCACGACAAAATATTTGCATACTTAAGGATATTTTGCTATTCAGACATACTTTTTCCCAGGAATGTCTTATCTACTGTGGTTAATACAGCCAAGCAGAGCATACAAATCTATCTCTTGCAACCCAGCGCTTACTCTATTTTTAGAGATTTTCTCGCACTAGAAGCTTAGCATTCACTCCACAAGATTTTGAAACTCAGGGGTATAACATCAAGGGTCATTCGGGAAATAAAAATTATCCTGTGATTTTCATGCTGTCGTCCTAGACACCTTTACATAGTTCTGCTACAGACATGATCTTCTAGACATGAAAAACATACCTGTTCAAATGAGATACTATACAACTAACAACAAAGAATAATTTAATTAAATAAGCAAACTTTTTTTGCAAAACATTTTCAGAACTGCAATTAAGCAGAATGTAGTCTGAGTTTCCCCTCCACTCCACAAATAAATGAATCTTGAATGTGTTAGCTGAGAAGTACTGAAATGACTCACATTTAGAAACATAACTTCCACTGTCCCAAGTAGAGCTTTAAGGTAATATAGAAAGTGCATTCATTTGCAGCACCTCAAGTATATCTCAGCTGCAAGGTTTCTTTGACTGTATTTTAGCTCGCAAGGTCAACACTGCCACAAGAATGAGTGATTTAACATAGCACAAGGTATACCTACCTTTCACAGACATTTGCATAAATCCTCAAAAGGACAGCAAAAATGAAAGAACAAGGGGTTATTACATTTCAGCTACAGATATGGACTTACACCCAGCACTCTGGATTTGGAGACTTTAGGAAAGATGCTTTTAAAACTCAGGGTTTTTGAAGCTGCTGGTTTGCTTCTCAAACATTTCAGGGTGATTTCTTACCCTGCCCATTAAAACTGGGAAAAAAAATCCATGACCAAATTTGCATAGCCATTATTTTGTGGGGTTTTCAAATCTCTTCTTAGGGCTTTTTTTTTTTCCTTTTTTTTTGGTATGTTGTTCAGAGAACTTGTTTCCTACTTGTGAGTAGGAAAAAAATTTGTACTAATTCACCTGTTCTGTTTTTTTAATAGCTTCAGTTTTTGAGTTCCTCAGGATGGTTACTTTCTATTATTATTTTTAAATGGCATGCCTTGATAGTATTTATCAAAATAAATACTGTAACAAGACAATTAAACAGTACCAGTTCTTCCAAGTTCCTCCAAATTCTTTTAACTTTTGGTCACTTACAGAACAATTGACTAGTACAGTAAAAGCACTACGAATTTCTTCATGGCAAAATAGCAATACAGAGCTCTGGATAAAAACACAACTACTCATCCATATTCTCACTGAAAAATTACATTTTTTCTTACCTGAAAAATCCATCTTTTGCTCACACACAAGAAACACAACTGCAAATACTTTCCAAACAAGAGAAAATATGATTTTTTCTTTTGGATTTTATTTTTAAATGACTCTTAAAAAATCTACAGAGACTACTAAAGAACATAGACACACAGTATAATTTTTTTTCACAAGTGTTCTGGAAGATTTAGTTTATTGCTTTCTTACACTGTATGTAAATCCTTATAGTGCTTGAAACTATTTCCAGTAGGTTTGCACATTTTTTCCAGCATAGTGCAGCAACTACTCACAGAGGAAGAAGAATTCTTCCCTCAAGAAATGGACTCTAATACTCAGCTGCTCCATATAACATTTATCTGTATTTAATATTTATATCTGTTCATCACGGGAAGATACTAATGTCTAATTCAAAGATAATGAGACCTATTATGCACAACTGACGCCCCTTTACTAAAGACATACTAAGAGGTAATTTTTTCTGAAGAAGACAAGAGCTGGCAGAAAGGCTATATCAGTCAAAAAAAAAAAAAAAAAAAGGTGATTTTGCATCTTCCAGTTGTTTAAAAGAAGCTGCTGCTTGTGGATGTTCTAGGACTGCAGAGGTGTTCTGTACCAAAGCACCACTACTGCTGACAGTGTCGGGTGCTGGTTCATTCAGCCCCAGATGAACCTCCAGAAGTTTTTCGTGGTACCTGTTGTCCAGGACAAGTGTATAAAGACAGTCTATTTAGAAAGTCTAAATCACATAGCTCTTACATGTGCCATCAGAGTTACTCTACCTCTATTCCCAAGAGTTTTGAACTGTCATTAATTTTACTTAGAAATCTTTCATCAGGACAGAGTCAGGGAAATTCCTCACTTGCTGGGGATTTTAGGATCTTTGGTAGCCTTATTCTCAACAGGAGGTCTCAGATTAATGTGCATGGGTTATTATGTGCACATCTGGAAATCCCCCTCACCAAGTCTCATGTGAATGTCTTGGAAGTGCAGAGTTCATAGAAGTATCTTATTGTCCTCACAAAGATGCAGATAATCACAGAATCACAGAATCGTTATGGTTGGAAAAAACCCTTAAGATCATCGAGTCCAACCGTTAACCTAGCACTGCCAAGTCCACCACTAAACCATGTCCTCAAGCACCACATCTACCCATCTTTCAAACACCTCCAGGGATGGAGACTCAACCACTTCCCTGGGCAGCCTGTTCCAGCGCTTGACTACCCTTTCGGTGAAAAAATTTTTCCTAATATCCAACCTAAACTTCCCCTGGCGCAGCTTGAGGCTGTTTCCTCTTGTCCTATCACTTGTTACTTGGCAGAAGAGGCCGACCCCCACCTCACTACAACCTCCTTTCAGGTAGTTGTAGAGAGCAAGAAGGTCTCCCCTCAGCCTCTTCTTCTCCAGACTAAACAACCCCAGCTCCCTCAGCCGCTCCCCATAAGACTTGTGCTCCAGACCCTTCACCAGCTTCGTTGCCCTCCTCTGGACACGCTCCAGCACCTCGATGTCCTTCTTGTAGTGAGGGGCCCAAAACTGAACACAGCATTCGAGGTGCGGCCTCAGCAGTGCTGAGTACAGGGGCACTATCACCTCCCTGGTCCTGCTGGCCACACTATTCCTGATACAGGCCAGGATGCCATTGGCCTTCTTGGCCACCTGAGCACACTGCTGGCTCGTGTTCAGCCAGCTGTCAACCAACACCCCCAGGTCCCTTTCTGCCAGGCAGCTCTCCAGCCACTCCTCCCCCAGCCTAATATGGCTCTGAGAAACAATTCTTTGCACTCTGGCAGGGACTGATTAAAGGATGGCAACTGACATTTGTGAACATGCCATTTCTACCATGTCTTCTTCACCCTGGACTTGCAGGGCAAAGCAACAAATCCTTGTGGATGCTCACCTCAAAATACAGATTGCTGTGATTCTGGGCCCTAATACTGAAATGTCTCTTGTATTGTAAAAGTTTACCACTGAAACATGGATGAAGCAGAAATTAAAAATACACTGGCTTGAATACAAAAAAGTAGGGAGAAGAGAAAACAAGAGTCTGTCCCTGGGAAGGGACAGACTTTTAACTCCTACTGGAAAGGAGGAAAATGCGCACAGAAATGGAAAGGCTATGGAGGGCAAGATAAACTCTCTCCTTCAAAACACTGAATTGCATTCAAGATCTCCTTTCCTGAACATTCATTTATGTTAGGGAAGAGCACTGAAGCTACTGGGAAATCCTGCATCTCACACTCCTTCAGCATCTGATCCATACAGGTCTGAACAGCCTATCTCCATCATGTGCTGCAGGGCACTAAGGACTTGGGTTGCAGTCTGCTTGTCACCCTTCTCCCTTTCCTGAATGATTCACGTGACATATCTTGCGCCTGTTTATCCAGTAACACGTGAGAGTTGAGATATACAGAATTCACAGAATGATGGACATTTGGCAAACAAAAAGGCAAAGTTCTTACCTCAAAGAATTTACAGTCTAGAGCAACAGATAATGTAGACATACACAGATGTCTAATCAGTAGATGACAGAAGTAGGAAGAAGAAGAGGTGACAAAGCAAGAGAATGAAGTAGCACTGAAATTTCTCTTTCTATCACATCCTGCTTACAGTAACTGTCTCCTAATTACTGCTTCTTTGCTACTCTCTTCCACTGCCCTTTCCTTACATATGTTTCCTGATTTTATTGTCAAATTTAGTGTGGAAATAACTGATAGAATAGTTCAGATGTGTTTTCCTGAGATGACAACTGGGACAAGACAAGTGACAGATTAGCCACACAATTTACTGATTTATTAGATATACAGGAGCTTTCTATGATGCATACAGAACTAGAGTATAGAGAGATTAATGCGCACACGGTTTTCCACATTCTTACATTCCAAAAGTTTTATTTTTAAACCTAACGTATAAAAATCAAGTTTTGCTTTAAAATAGTTACCACTTATAAATGTTAAGTAAACAGTCATGTGAGAAAACTCATCTTTTTTGACTAGCTTCCATCCTGTGGGACTCTGAATTTAATGATTCTTGTGAGTTGACATTGTAATTTATATGGGTTTATTTTACCACTCTACATTAATTTATCAATACAGCCCATACAGGAGATGCAAAGTAACAATCAACTAGAATAATTTTTGTTTAACTTGATTGCCTCTACAGGAATCAAATTATTTTTCATGATTTGTATAATGTTTTCACCTCTACTTTTGATGACTTTCTGTTGTTCATGCTGGCTTATTCAATTAGAATTACCTGAAATGGGTAATGGATATTAAATATAAGACATACTGTACATCTCCCAAAGACAGTTGTGCTGTATTTCTGCAAGAATCTCCTTATTTGCTTAACTGACATAGTACCTATTTAAAGCAAGTACTGCTAATGTGGCATTTTGGTGCAGAGGCACTACAGGCTGAACACGTTCACTTGTGTTCATGGACTTACTTTCCCCTGTAACATACTGTTTTGTAGATGAACAATACAGCCATAACAGACATATTTCGGCAATCAGGGCACTGGTACTCTGATAACAATTCACTAGGATTGTACCAGGTTTAGTAGGTTAAAAATAAAGGCTTTAGTTAGAATTTGATTTCTTTTGAATCAGCAGAATAATTGACATTTTAACAGAGAAAATTCTTCAAGCTTAAAAGATTTTGTGTAGCAACAAACGAGTGCAGGGTATCTGGAGGCTCAGTTAGGGGCTTCTGGGAACATTGTCTTGGGAAATGGTCTAATGTCAAGTATTATTTTCAAATAGCACTACTAAGTCAAAAAGTATTTTAAAAATATTTTAAAATATATTTTAAGTACGACTCATCAATTGTAATCTTGCTAAGAGACAATTCACTGAAAACACAGATATCTGCAAAACACATGCTAACAGCTATTGTATCATTAATTCAGAGTTTAAGGCTATGAAAGTACACGTAAATAAATTTTTGGTATTTTATCTATCAACAGATGCATCTTTATAAGTTTTAGATTCTATGGTTCTCTAGAGTAGTTGCATTAACCATCGTCTTTAACTTTATCCTAGCGACAGAAAACAATTTGCATTGTAGTAGCCATTCCAGCTTCTTATAAAATTGTCTCTGTAGTCATCTCCAATATGAATGAAGGATCTGAATTAAGCTGAGAGAGTCTATTAAAAACTATGTTTGTTAATTTTACATTCAACTTTTGACAAGAAGTATTTAGTTATCGGTCCCCTGTTAAATCTTAAAAGTTGAATAAGGTATATAATTAAGCCAATTCTTTAAAACATCAGAGCAAGATTTTCTTCATTTTTTAAGCATCTGCCTTTCTGCCCCAGATTTTATACAAAATACAGGAAAAACTGCTGTTACTCTCCAAAGTGTGAATTGGCAAAAGGCTTGTGCAACAGCAAACACAATTAATAAAAACCAAGAGAGGATGGTGAATTTAAAAAATTATTCAAAATATTTAGAAAATAAAAGACTTTTCCAGATGATTATTTAAATTAGCTCATGGGATTAAGGGATGTACATCAACTCCTACCTTTCCAGTAACAGATTTTGAGATACAAGTCAAAGATGACATTTATAAAAGTGGATTTAAATATAAGAAGCACTTCTATAGCAATGCTTTGGTATGTGCTCCTTTCATATAAAGTATTTTAGTAAGTATGTGATCACAGGTTGGACTGAAAAATAGTCTTGGAAGATTTTAATGAATCTTCATTTAGCAAATATAACCCATGGAACTATTTAAATGCTTTAAAATTAATATGCATATAAATACACATACCTTAAAGAATTCTTTCTTTTCAACTTGTTCATTGCCATCTGTATCCAACATTTTAAAGGCAATCTGAAATCCAGTCTGGGGTTCTGCAACAAATTGTAAAAGAACTTTATTGTAAACACACATGCACGCACACACACGTACTTAAATATTTAATGCAAAAGGAATATTGCCTATGGTTCAGTTCTCCATTGTTATGCATGTACATGATATTTCCAGTAAACCATATGTACCTCCTCCAGTATAAGCAAACTTTTTGAACACCTTTTTACTACTGTTTCAAGGGATAATTGATGCAATAGCAAAGCAAGAAATGGCAGCAGTGCCTAAGCACAGCCACGAATGTCCATCTGATCCCAACGACTGTGAAACGTTGTATGTCTTACTGCCCTGGTCTTAGATGTTCTCTATACATGTCTCCATAATGCCATGTCGCTTCTGAAGTCTAGCTCTGCCTTGTTTATTAGAGCTCATTTTCAGGTGAGAAGACTGGAAAGTGCCTTGAGAAACCCATAATTACTCCCAAACTGCGTGAAAGAGCTAGTGTACTCCTCAGGTACTTGCATGCATTACTGTATGCCAGTATTTGCAGTCTTCCCTAGCAAACAGACTGATCCTGTAATCGCAGCCAGCTCTCTCGGCTCCCGCTCCTGCTCTTAGCCCCAGGCCTTTTTTTTCTTCCCTTCTCCTCCCTCCCTAAACAATGTACTCAAATGTTACTGAGAAGTAATAAACCACTCTTTCTGGCCTCTTTGGACAAAAGCATGTCTTGTATGACTCCCATCAAGCTGATTTTTTCAGAAATTTTATACAATTTTACCCTGCATTTCCTTCACCGAGTAGATGTTTCTTTTCAACACAAAAAATGTAATGAGTTCTGAGTCTTGCAGGCGCTATAAAAACACAGTGTGTTTTGAGCTCCTTCCCATAATCTCCTGATCTTACTTTGCTTACAGGAGGTGGCCTTGCTCATTAGCAAGCCCACACAGGAGCAGCATGCTGCTGAAGTGTAGTTACAGTTCACTGCAGTAGCAAGCACTTATCCCAGTAATTTCTGGAGCAGGTGAATTAATTCCACAACCCAGTCAAGTCAGGCGTTAATATGAAAGCCACGGACTTATCGTCTCTAGAATATATTCTTGTTTCCAAGAACAATGCTGGACTCATGAGGGCAGTGAAGCAGTACCTCTGAAAAACTCTAATGTCTTCAGAGTTTTTCTTTTGGAAATACATTCTTCCAGCTCCATCCTGGAAAGTTTTAAGTCTTGCTTTTTTTTTTTAAGAAAATCTTCCTGCAAAGGGAACAAGTTAAAGAAATATCCCATTCCTTTTAAGTGATAACAAGATGGTTAAAGAAAGTACTATTTTTACATTTTAGAAGTAACTACGTCTTCAGCAGCCAACTAATGTTCTCTGTGGAGCAACTTTGTGATGCAGGGATATTTTATAAATACCGTTGCAATCTGCACAGCAGAGCCTTTCCCCAGCAACTGGGCTGTAATAATCAAAACTGGCTTCCTTTCCATGGAAATGCCACACGCTAAATTTGTGCTACTAGTACCAAAGCAAGAAGAGCCCATCCTATAACATATTTAGAGAACAAAAGTAATTGATGTATTTAATAGTAATTCATACCATCTGTCTTGCAATTTTCAGATAAGAGAGCCGTTACTGAAAATATAGGATCTAAAGCTGCTTATACTGTTCAGAGATGACATACTTATCTGATATGATGTAACCCCAAAGGCACGTGTTCGTAAAATAAGCATAGTTCAAAGACTACCTCAGATATATTTGTATTTAATTAGAATCAGGCAAAATTCCAAAATCTGAACAGAAGAGCTTCATCCTAGCTGTGAGTGCAGGTTAGACTTAGGTGCTTCCCCTGCAACCATTCCTACGTTGACCAAGCTGTCAACTTGTGTGACTGGCTAATTGAAACGAAGCTTTGAGTCAAGGTGATATTTCAGTTCCTGAGCTCCTTCACCAGAAGCTCCATTAACCAATTGCTAGAAATGAAATTCAGTACAGCACTGGAAGAAAAAAGATAACAATGATACAAGGCACACAGAAAAGAGAAAAGGGGATCACAGGGGGCAAAATAAAGCCTTTGTCTGCTGCAAAACTACATTTTCAAGTTCAATGTTGTTACAGACGTACTTTTGTATGACAGGCAGCATGGTCTGGTCAGCAGTGTCCTGGAACTAGGACTCTGGAAACCTGGTGACTCTTGACCTGTTCCCTATTGCTCTGCTGGTGACTTAGAAGAAGTCATTTAAATATTAATGGCTGCTTTAAGAAATTTCACATTAATTCTCACTAGCGAGACAGACAGGTTGTGTAACTGGGGGCTGAATAACATGGGATACTTGTTAGGCAAAAACAGAGGCACTAACACTTGTTGACATTTGCTTTCAAACTGATCGGTATGATAACCCTCTGTGTAACCAAAGCAGCGACATTAGCACTGCATTTTTATCCTGCATCAAAAGGTGCCTTTGTTTTTGCAGTTCAATACATTCCTATACCAATTCTGTAAAAAATAATGTTACTTGATTGTCTGAAAAAGTGGAACAACTTGCTCTGATACTGCTTCAATTTTCTAATTGTTTCAGCCAATAAATCAGCATGAATTTACTTTCAGCTGCCACAGATTTTTGAAGAAACAGAATCTTTGGCACCTATTTCTGCAACTTTAATTAAGGTATCCTTCTGAAGCTATAATGTGCTTGTGCTTTTTTAAAAAAAAAATCCCTCTTCTTTGAGTTGCAACAAATATTTTTAGATCGGCTTTCTAACTGGGCTAGACTCTTAAATTATTTCTGACTTTAAAAAGCACTTGGAACACACGGTATAACTCATGTTAAAGTTGTGTGTAGCACTGGACAGTCACTACCGGTGAAACAGTACATTTGTATGGTAAATAGGTTATATTGATTTATATATGTTAAGTAATATTGTGTACTAGTTGAAATTTCTAGGAGGAACTGATGCAGTTCTGCTGAGAAATGTCATAAGCTGCAAAAGGCCTACCTAAACTGTGTGAGAGGTGTGTACCGACAGTCATTGTCTGTGAAGACTAGACTCTCGAGACCAACTCTACTTGTTCTTACTACACCGTGACAGAGTGGATTTCTAGAGCAGGGAAAATTGTCAATTTGTTTAAGCCCTTGCCATGGACCTCGCAGACATGGAAGTGGTGAGGCTCAAGCATCTACAGTCCATCGGGATAAGAATGACTGCTTCCTTCTCACCTTCCCCACCCACTGATACCATGAGATCTCGTACGCCTGGTTTTGTCCCTTGCTTAATATGTTAGACCTGTGTAAGTCAGTCAAACACGACTGTGTGTGGACTGTTACATGGACATGCATGTGGACTACTTCACTACTAGTCTATGGGTCTCACTGAGTAATGCTAATTGCATGCATCTTATCTCAAATTGGTATTTTCCAGCATCACCGACGTTTCATCAGAACAGCACAGAGAGGTGGCAAGCACGGCACAGAGTAGGTGTGGGTGCGGAAACCCAGAAAATCCAAGATGAACATACAATCAAAAAATGCCTGCTGTTTGCAGATACAGCAAGTGCCAAACAAAAAAGTTTTTTTAAAAAGTGTCTGATAGAGAAAAAGGAAGGAGGCAAAGGAGGGGGCAGAAATACATGCAAAATACTTGGAGGAAATTAAGTCAAAAGGAACAGAAGGGAAAAAAAAAGGATTAAAAACTCAAACAAAAAGACACTGCAGAAGTCTGCTGTTTAGGTATATCATCCATTGCATATCTGAACACATGAGTAATAGGCAACAACCTTTCAGACACAACAGCTTTTTACACCATTCTGTGAGCTATAATGTTAATGTCTCATTGTCCAAAATGACTAAAACTACTATCCAGAAGACAAATTATTTATCTTCCCCCACTGTTGTTCTTCCCCTTATTATGTGGTCCTGTGACCAATGTCTCCTCTCTCTCCTAAAGAGAGACAATGATGACACTATGGAAGTAAGTTGCAATCAGTTAAAGCTATATCCATTTATATTAATGCTTTATCACTCTATATTCAATAGTTCTTTACATTTTACTATAATATAGAAATTTAGAAGTTAAAAAATATCAGAAAAAGTTCCTGGAAAGCTGTTAGCAGTATTTATACGTATGTATTTTAAATATATAATACTTACTCGTAAGAATTGTCAGCAAAAATAGGTACTCTGCATAAGATATCAACCCTGAAATAAGAGAGTTAAAAAATTACTTGCAAAAAGAAAATATACTTATAGCAAGACTTGAAAGATTGACTCTTATAAATACAAAAAATGTAGTTTGACATCGTACTAAATAGGTTATTAAAGTAAGCCACATTATTATTTAATAAAGTTTTTACTTCTGTTTTTAGTGCTCTGAAACTAAAATTCCCTATCCAGAGACTCATCAATGTTCACGTCTAATCAAGAAAGTAAGGTTTATTTGGTATTAATAAAAGGCCTACACTAAATCTTTGGATTCTCACTGAAAACATTCACTGTTTATATAAAAGGCAAATAAATTACATGCGTTTTGTCACATTTAGTACCTGGGAGGAGAACCACTCTAACGTTACCCTGAAGGATCAAAGTCCTCCATCCTTTGGCAGGCTTGCGAAGGCGGAGAACAGCTTCCCTCTAATTCTCAAGGGGAACATGGCAACATGCAAAGCTGCCAAGCTGCTAGATTGTGCTGATAGTACTGCTGGGCCGCATGCCAAGAGGAGGCTTCTATTTTTTTTTAAAATAGGAACATGTCCTTTCTACAAGGTGAAAGTATTTTCCCCCCTTTTGAAGGAAAATTCCAGTGTTTTCCTTTGAAATACCGCCTTAAGTGAAAAGCCTGAACAAACAAAAAGATGTGATAGCGTCAAAATAGAGCGTACGAGCTAAAGATAGAGAGAGCATAACAAGGGTGGTTAAACAACAGAATCTGAACCATCTGCCCTGCAATAATGTTTGGAGAAAAAATGTAAAGGGCTTTTTTATAAATCACTTTTCAAAATAACTGTGCTACTTTTAACTTGTGAGCTAAACATTGTATAATGCTGAAGCTGCTTAAAGTAATGAAGTTCAGACATGCCTATCTGTGCAAAGATAAACTATTTTTTATAATTTATATTTAGTTAATTGATAGATAAGGAATCCACTTAAGCTTCAGTGATAAACAATTAACTTCTGATAAATTACTATGCAGAGCCAACAGCATTTGTATTTGACCCCAGACAGTGACTTAACACTTTTAAGTTTGAAATACCAGAGTTTAGAAATACTAAATTGCTGAATGTAAGAGTCTGAAAATCTGAGAACAAGTCTTAGCTAAAGACAGGTCTAATGCTGATCCTGTTGCCAACTCACTCTCCATATCTCAGTTTTCTTCTCCATCAAAATAGGGCTATTCACCCTATCATCCAGCATGCATCATGTGTAAATCAGCACAGTACTAGAGTCATACAATACACTGTGGAAATAAAAAATACTTTCATCTCAAAGATTTAGTTTTGCTTACAAGTTTTAGGGGTACTGCCATTGCAAGAACGTAAATTATTATTTGCATTGCTGTAAAACTTGGAATCATGTTCCTAGACAAAGAGTCCACGATTTCTACAAATTGAAAACCAAACAGAGAAAGAACTCCTACCCCATTTTTTTAGCTTATACACCTAAATATAAGATAAAATTTAAAAAAATGATAGAAACAAATAGGGGAGGAAAAGAAATCAAGCAAATAATGTGATGGGCAGTGATCAAGATTCCTGCTCCCTAATTTTGTTTTGTGTGTGTCACTGCAAAAGAATGTTTAAAGAAAGAATATAAAGACAGACAAGGAGGTAACTTTTCAACTCTATATACAAAACACCTCCCAGTTGTGCACTGCAATGGTATCAGCACAAAGATCCTTGCCTGAAAATCTAACCAGCAAATGATGAAGGCCAGCATCCCTGGCCAAGGAGAAATGGGAGTCTGCCTCTCAGCTGTCTGGAGATGTGCTGCACAGGGATAGTCTAGGGGAGACCTGGAAGGTGAAGACAAGCAGCTTATGCTGGATAAAACAGAACAAGGAGAACCCAGTGTTGGGATACAAAAGAAGACAGGACACACTCAAAGGATTATGTAAGAAAAACATCTTTATCAAAGCATTTGAAAGGATATTAACATGGCAGATTATGTTTGTTAAAGTCAGAGAAAAAAAAAAAGGTCATAATAATTGCGATACAAAATCCTGAGTGCCTGAAGAGTTTTAGCTATAGGGGTAGACAAGGAACATTGTACCTTATAAAATTTCGCAGAAAGAATCTGCAAAATTTATACAGAGATGGTAGGATGTAAAGAAAAGACCAATTTAAAGACAACACCCTGCTTACTGGCTCAAGGGAGAAGCACGATGGCTCTATTCCCTCAAATTGCAGAGGGCTGGAAAGAGCAGCCTTGCAAGAAGTGGCAGGGGCGAGGCACAGACTCTGTTTTCATCGTCATCTGATCGTAAGCTGATTGAAAAGTCACTACAGTGAAACAGGCAAAAAGGTAAATATAATAAAAATACGTAAAAAAAATTCTTGATTGTACTTTAAAATCTGTCTCAGTGCCTTAAAGCAAATCCACAGCCTGTCTGACATTTTCTGGCAGACTGATTATACTAAAATAATTGGAGATAAGATTTTTTTAAATTGTGGCCTCATTTCCATAAAAATTCTTCTTTTAATTTTATTGTCCTTTTACTACCTGTAGTGAATGGCCAATTTACCTTATCTATAAAGTAAATTAAATATTTTGGTAATTTTATTTTTATTCTACAGTACTCATTACAAAGTTACTCAAATTAAAAGATGCAATGCAACAAATTAAAAAAAAAGAAAAACAAAAAACCAAACCATAGAAAATTTCATTCATGTCCAAGCAAATTTTAAAAGATAAAAGCTTCATATACTGTTGAATGACTCAGCATACTTGCAGCCAAGTATTTGCAGTTAGTGTTGGCAAAATACTGTCATTTTCTAACACTAAATAAGCCTTCCCTATCCCTCCCTGGAAATGTCTACCCTCAAACTTTATAGCAAATGCTGACAGCACAATATTCTTATTGCTGAATAAATCATAAGTATACCCACAAAATATGACATGAATTTTAAAACTGCCCACTAGAAGGCAGAATTCCCTAGCGTTATGTTTTACAAACTGGACTGATGACAGTTTTCCCTTCTACTCAATATTTAAATAACAATTTGAAGGTAGTTAAAATAATCTCGGCTAAACAGTGGAACAGGTGTAGATTTATTATTCTGGTACTTGTAAAAGCGGTATTTAATACATAAATATTGACATTTTAAAAATATAATAATCATGTATCTTTAAAGCAAAAGCATGTAAGTCACTAAAGAGGCATCATGACCAAAAACTGTAAAAACTCTGTGTATTGTAGAGACATATGGATGACTGCACTCAATGTTCCTGCACCATCTCAAACTCCTACCTGACCTTTGAAGGACAGAGTATATGGACCCACAGTCCCAATGCCTTGTCTAGAATGCAAAAGATGCCAGGCTGAGCATATCACGGAGCCACTTTCTGCCAAGCAGTCAGCTGGGAGAGGTGCAGGAAAAGGAGGCTGTGCTGATTTGCTATGTTTTCACTTTCTGTTGGTGGATTCCCGGTTTTCCCAGGCAGAGTGCTTTGGGGATTTGCAGTGTCAACCACTAGATAAAGAAAGGCTCTAAAAAAGCAGGGATAGAGAAAGAATATCCAAGAATTAAAGACTGGGAATCCTTTAAACCCTATCCTGGGAAAGCACATTATGATTAGTAATTTGAAAAGGCAGGGAATGACTATTCAATACAAAATCAAGACTTCCCTATAATAGGAAAAAATTGTTCAGCTTGTTCAGAGATGTTTCAGGGCTGCTGGGGTATGCTGAGCCTTGCAGGAGTGGACTGACAAGCAAGGCACCCAGCTGAAGACCCCTCCACATCTGCACAAGGATGCAAGAAATGAACCGCACGCAGAAGAGGCCATGAGGCCAAAGGGCAGGCGAAACGCTGCAGGCTGAGATCGAGGGCTGCTCTCCTGCACAAGCTGCCAGCCGTGGCTGGGGATCTGCTGCGCATGGAGAGAGCGTGGCTCGCGCCTGCCAAGGAACTGCAGCAGTGCAAAGGCAGCTTTATTTTCCAGAAACGTCCACAGGAGAAGGGATTTGGTCTGGAGTCTATGATACAGAATGTTTGTGAATAGATGCTGTTGGTCTTTCTCATTAGTTTGGGGATTTCAGTCTTTGTTACTGGTAAAATGGTTAATTACTCATCTATTTGGTTGCCTTCGTGCTCTTGTTTGTTTTCTCCCTTCAATTAGTTTATGCTAACAAGGTGTTTATTTAGTGTTCTTTAATTCCCTGTTGTTATACAAACAATATCCCAGAGTCTTCTCTTTATGTAGCCTGATATAAGGTGAAAATGCTGGGTGAAAAGAAACTGAAGCACATCAGTGCTGTGAAGGGCCACCGACCTCCTGGAGAGAGAAATAAGTTCAACTGCTCTTGGAATCGGGGATGTCACTTTACATAAGCAGATACAAATTTTATTTTTATTCTTAGTTTCCGCGCATTTAAGTTATATAATGAAATAGCAGCTTATTAACAACAAGTCTTAAAAGTCCATTTTGTGTGGAAGTCATCCCTCTAGCCCCTTTCTCTTCTCCAAGTAGGCTTTCCGATTTCTTTCACGTCTCCTCCCGCACCTCAGAAGGCTTTCAATTCCCAGCCCTGCTTCTTTACTCTCTCTTGCATAACCGAGAGATTTGCCAAGGAGGCAGCTACTGGCTAGATGGGGATGAAGTCAAATCCATGAAATCTTCTTTAAAAATGCACTCAATTCATACCATATAATGAGATAAAAAGCAAGATGTATTTTTCAGTATCAGAAGTGCTCATTACCTTTATCACCAAGCTCTCTAAAAAAGGTCGGTCCTGGTTTAGCTTTGGCAACACACAGGAGTGCAGCATCTACCTCCTTTAAAGACATAAACAAGAAAATACAAGTTTTGAAAGAGAAGTCTATTGGTTGAGCGACAGAAAGAACACAAGTTCTTTTGAAGAAGGAAAGGAACATTTTGCTTACCTTTTTTGTCAGTTTCTTGGCTGAGGCTTTACCTATAACAAAAAAATCATTATCATTCAATAACAAACTGACTTTAAATTTTGATCAGGTTCTGAGGCATTTCTTCACATTTTTATGGGAAAATGCTAAGTAATATGAAACAGAGTATTTTGCAACAGTTTGTTTCTAATTCCCACAATGATCAAGAAAGGACAACATTTAAAAATAATATGAGCAGTCTGTTCAAATGTTCTTGCAACCACAGACCACTTTGGTATCTATGACTGACTTACTAGTGTGATTTTGCATAGTGTGAGCTGCAAATGTAGTACAGATTCCAAAGCAAGATTATACAGTAAGAAACAACTGTAGTATTTACAAAGGGATTTGCATGCACACATAATAATCCTTCAAGTGCTGGTTGAGTATGCAAAAGCTAAGAAATACTAAAAAAGAGAAAAAAGAATGAAAACGTTGATGTTTCTATTAAGCAGAAATAAACTGAACAACTCCTGAAACAGCATCAGATGAAACTGTGCAAAGTCCTAAGTGTTTATTAGTAGGTTCAAGTGTGTACACTCAAATAGGGGAGCCACTGGCAGCAGTATAGGTTGTATTCCTGTGTAAATCACCCATCTGAGGAGCTGCGATGTATTATCAGTGGAACGTTTCAGCTGGGTAGGCAAGGACCATGGAAATCCTGCAGTCATGGACAGGCAGGAGCTCTACTCCGTCCTTTCTCAGTCTATCTGCCCTACCACACCAGTCTGTCTCCTCAGCATTTCTCCTCATACAGTTCTTAAAACCCTGTGTCCTTCACTCTTGCTGCCACTCTCAGCCGATCACTCCCTTCCTTCATCACCAGTTCCTCTGGATTCCAGCCAGCCATTCCCTCCTATTTATTCACGCTGTGTAAGGACAAGCCAAGATGCTTGCATTTGCTCTGAGGACCGGTGTCCTTGTGCGCAGCAGCCTGCTTTGTTCCATGCTCAGACTCCAAGGCTTACTCTACTGCTTCATGGGCATCTTGCATCCAAAGGGTCACCAGCACAGCATGGCTGTTTGGAAACGGACAGGATGGAGGCAGCCTGGTGGGCAGCTGTCAACAAACTTCTACCAAGCATTTTCACAGGCCCATGATTTAGCCAGACAGAGGCATTCTCAGTAAACCAGCGAATTTCTGTAATGCTGGCAAAAGATGTGCCCAGCTGCAAGGGGTCTCCACTGGCAACTTTTGGCTTCGGATGAGGGAAGCTGCCGGAACACCTCAACCAGCAACAGTTCATTTTTCAGCACAGGCAAACCAGTGCCCTGGCCTCTGCTCCCTGAACTGGCAGTAATGGTTTTGCTGATAAATTCCTCTCCCCACCCTGCTCCCCCAAATCAGCCTAAGGCAGACACCTGGCACATAACATTGCAACCCAAATGTTTGACAAAAGTTATAAGCAACTAAAATTAGGGTTTTAATACTGGAGTGTTGAGTGACCCCAGCAACAGGTGTTGCCAGCACCACCTGTTACTGTGGATGAATACATTTTTGTGCAGTGCGTGTACATATATTCACACACACACACACACACATATATATATAAAGCTACACAGATAGATACCTTCTAGCTCAAAGGAAGTATGAAATCCTCTGCTTTGCCTCATTTGAGATAAAAGAAGTCAGACTAATAACAGTCTGGGAGAGCAAGTAAAAATCCCTATATCCAGCAAGGCTGAGTCCTGAGCAGCTGATGTAACACCACGGTTCAACACTGTTCACTGCTGCAGAGCATTTTAATGAATGGCTATTTAGGAAATTAAGTGATTCAGATCTCAGCTTTGAAATGTCATCTCTGTACAGCGCATTTCAACGTGGAATTAAACTACAGCAGCTCTTTCGGCTCTGGGAGACCCACATGGCGAGAAGCCTTACAAGAGGGAATGAGTCAGGCTGTAGGTCTGCAAAAAAGTCTCTGAAAGAAAAAAGGGAAAACCACCCTGCAGTGATTTTCACTGTAAATGCTCTCCTTGTCTGTTTTGAAGTCAGCCATGCACTCTTATTTGGTTAACAGCGGCTTCACTCATTCCTTTCTCCTGGTGATCCCAAGAGCATCACCTCTGGCACAGCAACTGCTACCGCAGCAGTGTACTGGGCAGTAGCCTTTTGCCAGCATGTAGGAGGATGATGAAGGGAGACAAGCTGAACTCTGCGAGCTGGAACTGCAAAGGCATGAATAATTGATGCAAGGTAAGGAGAAAGCACTGGGAGCTACAGCTGAGACACTAACTGGCCAAGTTTGTGAGGCTCTACACTTGGTTAGGTCTGTGTTTCTCTTCTTCATATTGTATTCAGCACAGTAACTCTGAAACACTTCAGTTACCCGGTTTTTGGGAACATATCCTCAATGAAAATTACCCTAGCGTGATAAAAATTAAGAAAGGGAAGGAAAATCTGTTGCAGACATGTGAACCCTCTTTTCACCAGCCTGCAGTCACAACTGCAGCTGCCTAGAGCTCATGCAAATAGCTGCAGCAGCCATCAACATCTGCCCTCTCGCATTCAGCTATGGCCACCCTCCAGAGGACGTTTAAGATGCTGACATGCTAACTGACCTGTGTCAGAGATGAAAAGGCAGTAACAACAACAACACAGAGGTGCTCATGCTACCCTTGAGTGGGGAATCTTGGCATGGGTGAAAGGACTAGCGGAGGAGAGGAAGCCTTTGCTGCGGGGCGGAAGAGGAGGAGGACAGTCGCATCACCCCAGGATGTGGTGAGGGGCAGAACGAGGTGGGTGAGAGTCAGTCCCTACCACGGCTGACTGCACAAGGGGCTGCTGCTACAACAAAAGAGAAAAAAAGGCAGTGAGGAAAGGGACAGACATTTCTAAGACATTTCTAAGACATTCAAAGGCGTTTCTACTTTTCTAAGTAGTAAATAAGAGTAATAAATGTGGAGCCTTTAATGGTGCTCTTCTCAAATGGGCTTCAAAATCAAAAGATTTAATAACCTAGTCAAATGAAAATTGCATACAGATGTCAGCAAGCGCGCGTACTGCTAGGCCAGGAACTTTTTTGAAAAAAAAAAGACACTTGGGAGACTAGTGTTATTTTTCACATTGCTATTTGTGTAAAATATTAGAATACAATCTTATAATAATGTAATAATTTAAACTGTAGAAGGAGTTCCCTCTGATAATTATTTGAATATTTTCTAAGAATTAAATCCAGTTATGTTCTATTGGTACTGTCACCATATAAAATCATCTGTGAAGACTCAAATCTCGGTTTTCACTTGGAAACATTAGCTACTTTTATTGAGTACTCAAAATATTCCTTGTATACTAATTTAGCTCTTGGTGCTTCTTCTCTCCATTTATTCACTTCCTAACAATGAGATCCCTTTAAACACCAACAAGGAAAGCTATGTTAATAGCGCACACTACCATATCAAATGTGCAGCCCTCTGAGGAACCACATCCTTTAAGGCCTTGTCTACAATAATTAGGAAAAGAAGGTTAACTCCTCTTTGCAGAAGATGCACTCCAAAGGTATGAACAGTTTTCTTAGCCAGTTCAGACACTGAAAAAAAAGAAGCCTCTTCCTTTCTATCAATTAAATCTTCGTGCTGTCATTCCTGACACATGACTACAAATATATCAGGATCTAATTCTCTCTCTGAGGAATACAGGCAATGGTTATAATTATTAGGAACTATTTCATCTAATAAGTAAAAGATCAGTATGATGCACTTTTCTATAGTTTTATTCTTTTACTTTCATAGACTCTTACTAATAGGTAAACTAATGACATATTAGAAAACTTGTTTGTAGTAGTAACACTCTTACTTTGGTATCAGAAAAAGAAACTTGGAATATTTATTGTTTTGAATGTGAATGAATGAGAAGAAAAACAACTTTTTTTTTCCTACAGACCTGCCAAGACTGTGATGGAATTCTGGCTTAAAGGACAACAAGTATTTTCAAGGGTCTTTACATATTTTACAGATGCTATCATCTAATTTTCACCATCTATAGCGGATCCATGAAACAACAGCGAGGTACAGACACACCTTTCACGGACAAAAAGCCATTTTAGCTTTTAAAGTTGAATGAATAGAGAGTCTACTTAGAAGCAGACAAATTCTGTGCCGTTAGCCAAGAAAGTTGGCTGACAACTGTAATTAAGAAAACACTGCCAAGAGCAGCTACGTCAGCTTTAATTTGCCCTCGGCAAACCTGGGTATTTTGTCACATACATTTCTTACAATAGAAGTGTTTCCATCATCTATCAGTTTTTTACACTAAGATGTAGAATGGACTCGACATCAATGTTAGGATTAACATTAGGAAAGGGCTGAATTAAACAAGTACCCACTTGCACTCAGGAACACCCATTTACACCTGTATAGCTAAGGAAAAGCTTAGATCTGATAAAAGACGTTTAGAGCCAAAGAATGAACAAAATCACTAACTAATGTCACTCTTATAACAACAATAATCAAATGCCAAAGCAAAAGTAGAGAAGTTACTACTATCTGCCAGAAAGCATAATTTTACATGTCTGCAAGATTGCTCTATTTTTTTAACATGGAAATGAAAATTAATTTTTGAAACAATCTTTCTCCACAGCCTTAGCTTCAAATGATAACAGTATAAAATAGCTATCTCTTCCTAGGAGGACAACAAACTCCTGTCCCTTTTATCAGCAAAGTCACTGAGATGGTTTGACCAGGATCTCCTTTTAGCTCCATTTCAGATAGACACAGTGATAAACAATTAAAAAAAAAAAATTGTCCTCCCAGTTTTTTAATTTTAGATGCCAGTCATTGCTATCTTTGCTGAAGCTTGGCAGGTTCAAAGTCATACTGGGGTACTAGGAAACCAATTTTTTTTCCCTGAAAAATTAAGGAGAGAACAGCATTAGGTATGCTACAATTCAATGAAATTCTGATTCCGCAAAATGATGAGTGAAAAGAACCTTTTAAACTGGACGCGATTTCAGCACAGTCGTAATCTGAGGATCAGGGCATTTTAAAAACTAAACCCACTGTGCGCAGCTGATGC